GAAATCCCAGAGACAAAACAGGATAGTCACAATCTTCAAAAAGTTTCAAAAAAAGAAGCGAAAAATCACGATCCTGAGAAAATCTCAGAGAAAAAAGAAAAACCTGATCCTCAGAAAATCTCAGAGAAAAAAGAAAGACCTGGTCCTCAGACAGTCCCAGATAAAAAACAGGATAGTCAAGATCTTCAAAATGTCTCAGAGAAAGAATGTACCGGTAAAAGTTACAATCCTTGTGAAATCCCAGAGAAAAAACAGGATAGTCACAATCTTCAAAAAGTTTCAGAAAAAGAAGAGAAAAATCATGATCCTGAGAAAATCTCAGATAAAAAAGAAAAACCTGATCCTCAGACAGTCTCATATAAAAAACAGGATAGTCAAGATCTTCAAAAAGTCTCAGAGAAAGAATGTACCGGTAAAAGTTACAATCCTTGTGAAATCCCAGAGAAAAAACAGGATAGTCACAATCTTCAAAAAGTTTCAGAGAAAGGAGAGAAAAATCACGATCCTGAGAAAATCTCAGAGAACAAAGAAAGATCTGATCCTCAGACAGTCTCGGATAAAAAACAGGATAGTCACGATCTTCTAAAAGTCTCAGAGAAAGAAGAGAAAAATCCTGATTCTCAGAAAAACTTGAAGAAAAAAGAAAGACATTCTCAGAAAAACTCAGAGAATAGAGAAAGACCTAATCCTCATAAAGTCTCAGATAAAAAACGGGATAGTCACGATCTTCTAAAAGTCTCAGAGAAAGAAGGTAAAAGTCATGATCCTTGTGAAATCCCAGAGAAAAGACAGGATAGTCAAAATCTTCAAAAAGTCTCAGAGAAAGAGGAGAAAAGTCATGATTCAAAGAAAAAAGAAAGACCTGATCCTCAGACAGTCTCGGATAAAAAACAGGATAGTCATGATCTTCAAAGAGTCTCAGAGAAGGAAGAAAAAAATCACGATTCTCAGAAAAACTCAGAGAAAAAAGAAAAACGTTATCCTCGGAAAGTCTCAGATAAAAAAGAGGATAGTCACAATCTTCAAAAATTCTTTGAGAACGAAAAGAAAAGTTGCAATCCTCAGAAAGTCTCAGAGACAGAGGGGAAATTTTCCAATCCTCAAAAAGTACCCCCAAAAGAGGAGGAGCTTCTACCTACTGAGAGAAATGATACCCTTGTTGCAGATGAGGTACTTCCTGGTGAAGCAAGCACAGCTGGTCCCACTGAGGTTTCGGCTGCAGCGCTACAGAGAACTCCAAAACAGGAACAGAAATCAAACCTTGAGAAATTCATACCTCTTCTTCGTCCAGTCACTGTTGACCTTTCACCTCCATATTCACTACGCTTGGTTTCCGAGGAGAGCTTCCAAAACGCACCAAGTAACAAAGATAACAGCAAAATCTTAAATGGATCAGCCTTGGTGACCTCTCCTCCTGTTCGCCAGCCGCTCAAACGGAAAAACGAACTGTCCGAACAGCCTTTAAATGTAAAAGAAACCCGGCCAAACAGTCCTCCTTGCCTTTTCGACATTGCTGCCTATAAGCCAATGGGCTTTGAGGCCTCTTTCTTGAAGTTCATACAAGAAACGACGACTCCAGTAGAGAAAGAAGCACCTGTGAAACGGCGAGATAGGCGCAGCTGCTCTGTTAAGGAGAACAATCAGCTAGGAATCTCTCACACCCGCAGTAGACGTACTCATTCCCCACTGGTGAAGTCCCGCGCTGTAACTGGGAGCTTCACGTCGGTACAAAACTTGAAGTCCATCCTGGACAAGGCCCTGGCTGGGTGTGGGGACCTGGCCATAAAACAGCTTCAGTATCTCAGACCGGTGGTGGTTCTGGGAAGACCAGTGTGCACCGCCACCCTTTCTGACCTCTTCCCATCTGAAACCAACAACAGCAAACAGCTTCTCGGAAGTTAAACTGAGCACCTTTTAAACTTGGCTGTGGACTATGGACAGTGTATCAGTATTTTTATTTCTTCCAAAAACTGGTATGCTTTTGTTGTTTTTAACTCAAAAGTTTTGTAGAAATTAGCATAATACAAAATAAGCCTGTACAGCCCACATCAGAGCTGTCTGACAGTATTTTAGCTTTTGATTCTGAACACAGTCACATAATACTGAATATGTTGATTCACAATCTCAAATGTATATAAACTCCAGCCCTCGCAGATAAATGTTTAGATCTAAAGATTGTTAAGAAGGATCATGAGCATGATGCCAAGCCTTTTCACTTGTGAAAATGACAAAAACATTTCCTTCAAAGTTCTCGAGGAATACATTTGGTATTTTTCACATGACTTTATATGAAAACAGTGTTTGGCTTCATATGTTTGGTGGAGGAAATGTATGTAACCCTTTTTAGAAAAATAAATGTGATAATCAGGGCATCTTGTAATAGACTTT